TAAGAAAGAGAAAGTATCAAATATTGCAAAAATGGCGTCCGAATGTGAGATATAACGTTAGAGAACTGCCAACGCAAGCTGGATCAATATCGTTCGCCGTTTCATCAAGTCGATGGGAAAAAAGAGGAGAAAAAATACATAACTTTTTAGGGTCCGCCTCCCCTGCGGTCCCCCGTCGCCGCTGCCGGCCCCTACCGTCCCCTACGCCCGGCGTAGCTCGCGCCAGCGACATAAAAAAATAATACAAAAATCCCAACGAGGCGCTTTGGCGCGTGGCTACAATACAATGCTCCTCTATAAAATATCGTATCAAATTTATATAATAGGAAGTACCTTTGTTGGCACGGGGAAGATGAAAAAAAACGCCTTTGATTCAAACTGTGAATGAATGCCTATATAAGGGTCTTTACAGACGTACTTTAAGTAAATCAAGTAAATTATATAGGATGTGTTGATAAGTAATTACTATTTATGGTTTCCTAGAGGCTACATAACTTTAATTGTGCGTTCCTTTTTCAACAGTTTTCTACGTTCCATTTTGAAACGAAATACCTGAAAATTATCCTTTATAATTACTGATAATTTGAAAATTAATTAATATATTCTACATATTTGAATTATAATTTTAAAGCGTTTACTAACCTAACCTAACATACATAAATATCACCGGAATTGAAAAGGTTTTATTAACTTTCTGAACTTTTCATAACTTTGCAGCCCTGAAAGTGTGTTGAACACTTGAAAGGTTAAATTAAAACCTCCCGCATTGCCAGGACTTAATTATATGAGCTAGAAAGATTTTCTTGAACGTGTTCTTTCTACAAAGTTAGGGACACATTGGACCTGAATTTGTTTTTCAGAATAACACGCTTACAAATAACCTATTTGGACTGCGAACACGTTTTAAGGTAAGTACCTGGATGACCGATCTTTGCTCGGTATTTTTTTTAATTATGTTTTGCGGAAATTATATTTAAGTACGAATTACTAATAAAATGATGAAATATGAATAATATTTTTCGATCTTACCGATAGAAAAAGTTAAATTTATGTTTCAGTTGATTATCGATAAAACACGAATAAAATGACATTATCTAAAAATAATTCCTAGCTAGATCGATTTATCGCCTTCGAAACCCCCTATATACTATTTTTTTTGAAAATCGTTGGAGCCGATTCCGAGATTCCAATTATATATATATACAATACAAGAATTCTATATATATATATTCAAGAATTGCTCATTTAAAGATATAAGATAATTGCAACTACATCATAGTAACTAGTAGTTGTGTTAGAACTGCATGATTGCTTCACTTTTTACATATTTTATTTATACAACGATTTTTCATAATAAATAAATTTAATTCACAAATGTTTGTCAATATCAATTCATTCATTTAAAACGATGTGTTTAAGTTAATCCCTTTCTAGCTTCATAGTGATGAAGCTAAAACTGATAGATGACATACTATACATAAGTAGCGCGAAACAGGCTGAGTATAATTCAGATGATAAAAATATAATGAACGGCAAGTATCTCGAAAAGCGCGTTGCTGAGTAGATAAAAGGTGGATCCGCAATACCGCGAGATCTCCCAGAGCCGAAATTTGTTCGGAACGATTGCGAGATCCTGCTTTGCAATCCCTAATCCTAGTATTAAATCAATAGTGGTTAAACAAATAAGAGAGTAGATGTTAATATACGTTGTCAAAACCTTCTAGACAGTGATTTCAACAAAAGCGCAAATTTTACGTCAAAGATATCGTCTAACGAGTATTGCGGGTCACTTAGGGTGAACTGAACATCCAACGGAAGCATGAACCGGTGACAAAGGCTCTAGTCGAATGGCGACTTAAAATACTTTGTAATATCGAAAAAAATATCAACATCTGGCCATTGTCTAGATCCGCGGGGGAGTCGACGGAATAAAATAAATAGACGACAATGCGCTGCCACCGCACGCGTCATTATTCAAGTACGATTGACAGCCACTTCCATAGCCCGGGTCGAGCTCAATAATACGCCTACTTACTGCAGAGGTGCAACGCGCATTGTAACAGTTCATTTTGATACTTGAGGTCGCAAGAAACTTACAACAACAAAAAACAGCAATCCCTAAAGTTATGAAAGTTACAATTATTTAGAAAATAGTATGTGGAAACTTGTCATGAAATAATACGAGAATTCAGACTTTAAGGTCTAATTAACCTCATTGAAAATCCTTGTTCATTCGTCACGGCGAAAAATTAATCCTAATTCTGTTTCTTTTAAGTAAAAAGCTAGCTTCAATTATAACTACATTGGTTAATTCGTGACTGGAGATTCGAATACATTATATTTATTTTAGTAATTATGACCAAGTATCAAGATGTAGATAGAAATTGGTTTAAAATTTAAAGATTTTTTAAGAAGCGTATGCGTGTGTCCTGTCATCCCTTCACATTGAAAAGCGGTGGCGAATCGCAAAGTTCATGAATAAATATAAATTCGATATTCCTTTTGAATATAAATGTCGAATAAAAAGGTGATTTATCAAAAACTGCTGCCCATTCATACGGAATGTTCTTTTATATCGTTTAAATAAACATCGTTTTTGGGATGACGTACAAAATGGCGCGTAACAAATTGTAAGTTTTTTTTTTGTTAACTGGTATAGTTGGTGGGACAAGGAGTTCTAATGAGTGGCGAACACCCACGCTATAATGATGCAGCATTTCCTTTCAGGTTACAACAACGTTTGCCAAAACCAAATAGGAAACGGTACATTTGACAATGACGATTACAAATATTCTCAAAAAGCAAAAGTCCATAAAGAAGTATTCTTCGCTTTTAAAAAAATATACCTATAGTAATCGTATTAGGTAGCGTAACTTAGCACTACATAAGGAATATAAAAGGGAAAAGCTTTTAACGGCTTTATAATTAGAATAGCAACGATGTCTGACAAAACCATGTCATGCTTTTTAATAATCGATTGAAAAGTATACAAAGACGAAGCAAACGTACACATCAGTTCATATTCAATATTTTATCTATAATTTTAAGCAATGGACGCAAAATGTAAGGTGGCAAATATGTAAAGAGAAGTGTAATAAGCATAAAATGTTCTTTGTTAAAAATAAATAGAAACGATTACATATTTACAACTTAAAGCCCAAAATATAAAATTGTTAACATGTATATTATAAGCGAAGTGAATGAAAAAAACAAAATTGCAGTCGTGAGTTGCACTATTGCCATTTTTAGGATTAAAGCTACATGTTTGTGTATTACACCGAAAAAACAACCTATAACAAAAATATGTGCACGTAAAACTCCAGTAATTTTAAAAACATTTTTTACTGTAAAAGGTTAAAACCACAAAATAAGTATTTTTTGTGAAAACCTCCTATTGCATTTACCGAATTAGAAATATGTTTAAAATTAAATCTGGTAACACCAAAACTTATGTCGTTGACATTGACAGCATGATAGCATTTTACCGCAACTAAAAACCAAATCGTGACTTTCAAGTTTTAATTTACAAAACATTCAAATTAAACTCATCTAATGTAAGTAAATATTTCATAAATTTCATATTCCAGTTCACCGATAAAATACTTAATGTGACAACTATCACATTGGTAGCCTACTAAAATAACAATCAATCGTTAAAGTTAACAAAACTTGAAATTTCAGTGAAATGGCGGCTTCAGTGAGCAACACTTATGCGGATCCTTGCATACCAGAATGGATGAACGCGCCCCACAGCACGGGCACCTCAATCATGGCTTGCGAGTTCGACGGTGGTGTTGTCATTGGTGCCGACTCGCGAACAACCACGGGCGCCTACATAGCAAACAGAGTAACCGACAAACTAACAAAAATCACTGATCACATATATTGTTGTCGCTCGGGCTCTGCTGCTGATACTCAAGCCATCGCCGACATTGTTACTTACCATCTGAGTAAGTAGCTCATAATAATTCTCCTAAATGATGCCAAATATGGGACCATTGCTGCTGCATAAATATTCAAAACTACTACCAATACCTGCGTCTTTCTTTCTGTTTCCGTTCACAAAAATAAACTTAAACTTATTGTAATTAAGCTCTTTTATGTTATTGATAAAATTAATCTTTATTTCATTGGTGAGACAAATGTACTCTTTTATTTGTAGACTTCCATAAAATGGAGCTCGGTGAACCTCCACTAGTGCAGACTGCTGCTGCAATCTTTCGTGAGCTCTGCTACAACTACCGAGACTCCCTAGTGGCTGGTATCTTAGTTGCTGGTTGGGACAAAAAGGAAGGAGGTATGTTTTCACTGCACTTATTGCATCTTAAGTTCAGGTGAAGCACTAATCTTTTCTATGTGCTCATGGAAATATGTAATCAGAGAGTTAGTTCATTTTCAATTGTCCAACAAAAGATGTATTTTGAAATTAATATTCAATTTGTTGAGGTTAAATACCAAAATCTTAAAAAACTCATAAAATATACAGTTTATTTAACAAGAATTATGATTACTAGTTACAACTTGTTTGTTAACTTTTGGAAAAGGTATTTTTCATATAACATTTTTAGGTCAAATCTACTGTGTACCTATCGGAGGTATGGTGCAACGGCAGGCAGTGTCTATCGGTGGGTCAGGTTCGTCATATGTTTACGGCTATGTTGATGCCAACTTCAAGCCTAAAATGAGCAAAGATGAAGCTGTTAAGTTTGTAACAAACACTCTCACATTGGCCATGTTACGTGATGGTTCGTCCGGAGGAGTGGTTCGTTTGGGCGTGATAACAGAAGCAGGTGTAGAACGTCGTGTGATCTTGGGTGATCAGTTGCCTAAGTTCTATGAAGGTTAATGTGCTCTTTGGATACAAATAATATAAGTAAATAAATTTTTTGTAAACTGTCTTTTATTATTTTATTTCATTAAGGAGAGATTACTTCTTTATTAAATAAAACACATGTTTTAAGCATTTTTAATTCATTATTTATTTTAACACTTTACGCCTATTTACAGTTTTAAGCTTCAGTTATAAACAAAAAATATTACTAATCCAACTAAAATATGAAGATACTATTTTCCGTACGAATCTTAAAACGTCAACTTTGTTGGGTTTAAATTACAAAAGATGTTTTGTACAGAAATCACACACTTTCATCACAATATTTAAAATATTGTTACACTCTTATTATCAAATTTCTTATGATGTAAAAACCTAAAATATACTCACTTTTAATAGATGTTTTATTATTTCCAAAGATTTCCTCTCTACAACTTTTCCTGCTAGTTATTCAGGATTTCTATGATGTCGCCTCTTCAGAGAACTCCCTAGGCCGGTCAGTAGCACTGAATGTGGTAATAATAGGTTCATGTGATGACTCCCAATTCCTCCATAGTGTCGAGATCTCGCAGCAGCATCTGAATAGTCTGCTTTGTGCGCGGAAAGAATTCCGCAGTTTCATCATCCTCAAACAACGGGTCTTGGGATTCCAACTCTGTATAAATATAAACAAGTAAAAAAAAATCCTACTAAGATTATAAATGTGAATCTGTGATCTCGGTAAAATTTGGCATAGTCCGGAAAAACAGATATGCTCCTAATTATTATTATTTTTAATTTCGCGCGGATGGAGTAGCGGGCACCAGTTAGTATACAAATTATATGAAAGTGAGCTACCCGGAAGCACAGCAATATCCCCTCTGTGTATGGGTAGGTTCCAGTCCTGGAATAACTCACCCGCGACCTGCGCTTCAATGGAGTCCAGTCGTGAGTCCAGTAGAGCCTGACAGCGCTGGATGTGTCGCAGCAGACGCTCGCGACACGCGCCATTCTCTATGGCTGCCTCGGGCTGCGGCGCGCGGACCGCGGGACCTTGTTCTATACCGAACAAATGTTTCATATAATAACTTATGCAATAATTATTATAAAAAAGTATATATATTCTGTTTTAAACATCGCAATTATTGAAAATTGTTTACATTTACCTTGAACACATTTAGCCAATCTCTCCAGCTCTGAAGTACTAATGGGCAGTTCCAAGGACGTGCCACCAGGACTGGAAAGTAATCCACTGAGCAGAGTCTGAGGGCCGAGAGGTATATCCCTCTGAGTGAACCTCTCGCCCTCCTCTGACGTCACATCCATTGCCATATCTCTGACGTCATCCGTCTTTATCGGCAAGTTCTCTTTCCCAATGTTATGGATCATGATATTCAGATCGGAATAGTCGGAGTTCAATTTCTCCTGTGTCATATTCAACTCTGTGTTCTCCCAGTCTTTCGCCCATAAGTACAACTTTGGATGGTCTTTCTTCCTAAAACACATAAAAAATAATATGAATAAAAACTTTTAAATTTAATTACTATTATAAATTAAACATAACTATAATTGCCTGAAAGTTGAAGTCACGAATTGACCATGATTAAATGAAAGAGAGAAAAAGAGATAACTAAATAGATACATCCGTCTCGCTTCGCCTCGTCGTCGGTGACATGTTGCCTAATGAGTTTAATAAGCGACGACCTTGAACTATTTCGATATGGAGCAAAACAGTAAGACTTCCTACTCCTTCACTGTTGCTCCTCATGGAAACCAGCTTAGCAAGTATTAATTCTTAGAATATAAGTATGTATAGTTGTTATATACTGACGTGGCTACACAGTACTTCACCCTGAGCGCGTGCAGGGCATCCTGCACTCGCAGTAGGTTGCCAGCGAGCTCGTGAGCGCGCCGCAGCGGCTCCGCGGGGCGCGCGCCTCCCGCCAGCACGCCCTCGTACATCCGGTCCTGATCGTGCACGAAGCGCTTCGACCGCCGCCCACGCTTCGGATTCAGGCAGATGCTGCACGTGTACTTCTCTGGAACCTGATACAACGCACTGTTTAGTACAAATAGCCCGTTACACCAGAGAGGTTATGCACAGTAAGAACTTTCCCCTATGTATCTGCTCTTCAGTCAAATCCACTTTCCTTCCAATGCCTTTCTTATAAGAAAGTTATGAGAGGGGTAAGAGAACTAAAATTAGGCCTCCGGAAAATTACCAGATACTAAAACAAGAAATAGGTAAAGTTAATATTTATGAGCACTTACTTTTAATCTTCTTAACGAAAAAATATTGAATAGAAATGGGAAATTTCCTAAAAGGATGATGGGAGGCGTACCTCGGACTCTCTTTGTATGTTGTGGCATAACGCATGCTGCCAGCACAGGCACAGCTCGCACTGCACCATTAGCCCGTCCTCCTCGCGGTACCCGCAATGACAGTTTATTATCTCCTCGCGCCTCATCTGCACTATCTTTATACGCTCGCCCGCTAAATAATAAAACATTATAACAAATAATCTTTACAGCTAAAATATAAAAAAATGGAAGTAAAAAAACTAAGAAATGTAAAAGCAAAGGTATCCAAATTTGCAGATCACTTCTTATAAAAGCAAAGTCTAATTTTATTCACACGGATATTAATTGATATAAACACAGGTAATTGAACTTACTCTCCGTGTACGTATACATTGGTTCCTTCTGATCTTCATTGGACTCCGAGGACGGGGCAGCATTGATGGACGTTTTGTTTTCCATCGTCTTCGAGTCCGGAGTACCGGATCCCGGGAAACTGGATCTCGTTTCTAAATCAGAGTTCATTGATAACCAATCATCGTCCTCGCTTTGATTATTGGGAAAAATGGCGAATTCTCTTCGCTTCTTATCTTTCTTTTTCAAATCTATTGGTTTTGTCACTGTATGAGTCGATATAGACTTTTCAACATCCAATACATCCGGAACACTAACTGGCGTACTGCCTCTCGCTTCCAATCCTAGTTCTCCAAAGTTTTCATTCGTGTCTGAATCTAGTCTTCTAACTGGAAGTAAGACTTTTGGTCTTTTAACTGGTTTGTTCACGAGAGCGTTACGCAGTTTTGGTGAATCTTGTGTCTTTGGTAGACTTCCCAAATCTGGTGGTGATATCGGTATATCCACTTTTAATTCAGCATCCAGTTCTTTTATATCTATTTTGTTTTCAACACGTTTCATAGGTTTTGGTAATTTCACTTTAATCACTTTGTTTTCTCTTTTACTTTTCAATTTAGTCATCAGTAATTTCGTTGGTCTTGTTCTAGCGTAAGCTAAGTCTAGAACTTTAGGCGTAGAACCGAGTAATTTCCTTAGTTCTCGGTGATAATGTTTGATGTGCATTTTCAATAGTGTATTATTCCTAAAGTTCTTAAAACAATCGTCAGCTGGACAGCGCAATAAATTTTCGATTACTTGTACTTTTAAAGATCCAACAAAAACTGGAAATATCATTTTATAAATAAATCAAACTCATACGAACAAAACATCTAGCCAGCGAAAACCATGGGATATATAAAAAATATAATTACCGTATCCATCTTCTAATGTTGCATTTTCATGAGGTGTTTCATCATAACTAGTAGAATCGAAAATATCATTACTTGTTCCAGGTAAACAAGCATTAGCATGTTTATGCTAAAAGGACAATGAAATAAACGTGATTTATCAACATCAAAAACAAGCAAGAAAATCGATAAAAGAAAACAAAATTAGAAGCAAGACAGAAAAATCGGTCAAATAAAACAGGACCAACAAAAATTACTTACCATACGACGTATCTTCGCGTCTCCGCTCCACTTCCTTTTCTTTTCTTTGGATTTGACGATGCCCTTAACTCTGTTGAGACTAAGTTTCTTTCTCTTGACAAGTGGGGATGAGCTACTAATCATACCGGCTGGTACAGGTGTAACCGGATCCTCAGTACCAGTGTGGACGACCCAACCCATACGCCTGGCTAGCTTCAAATGGATACCGAAATCCATTAACGCGTGCTCGTAAGGTCTAAGATCTTCCGTAGCTTCTTTCTCGATATACGTTCGCATATCAGTTTTAGTATGAAAACGACGATTTTCAGGACTAAATAGATTAAAAAAAAAGTAATACGATACTTATTAGTAGTAATACTGGTCAGTAATTAACATCAATCTGTAATAAAAGTTGGGATATTCATGCAAGAGTATCACTTTACAAGTTAGAATGTAAATCAGAGTTTTTGGTACACTCACCTAACCAGAACAACGTCCCACTTCCCGGCTGAATTGCCGAAACTTCGTCTTACCATATGCTTCGTCCATCCCGCAGGCAAACGCTTATCTTCCACCTAAATAACAAAGATTTTTAAAAACAAATATTAAAATCAACAGTAGACTGAGCAGTAGTATACAAACCTGAACACTTCGTCTTGGTAAATGTGGTTTGTTGTTTGGATCTACTTTGATTTCACTTTCTATTTCACTGACGGAGCCCACTGGTTGTCCATTCACCCATCTGCAGCACCATTCGCCAGGCAACATGAAACTCTCTGGCATCTCTTGCTTCCTCACTATCTGTTTCCTCATCTCTTCGACTTGCCGTTTCATCTCTGCTAATTCACACTCTACTTTTTCCATCTTCTTCTTTGCCTTCGCCTGTAACAACCTTAATTTCTTATTCCTTTTCAAATGTGACACTGTTTTCTTAGTTTTAACTTTATTTTCATTATCATTTGCTTCTGACTGTTCAGGTAACATTACTTTTTCCTCGGTCAATTCAACTGGAATTGCTTGAATTTCATCTTTAATTTCGTCTTCGTCTTCTTCTGGTATTTCCTGTTTAGGTGAATCTACCTTTTCTGTTTTATTCATACCATCCTCTAATTTGATAATGGCTTCTTTAATCCTATCGATTACTTCTTCATGCTCCTTGTCATCTATTACTTCAAAATTTTCAAGTTTTGTTTCCTCTTCTAATACCTATATTCATAAATTTATTTTTTATTTAAGTCTTGAAGTCATTAAATAAATATTAGAAACTACAAAATATCATGTAGTATTAATATTATAAATACATTACATTTAAACTAATCAACTTACTGGATCAAGGCTGTTCCTAGTTTCAGTCACCTCTGTTCCTTCCTTATCTTCTGACTCATTCATTTGTTCGACATTTTCTACATTCTCGGGAATTTTAATAGCAACATCTTCTTTACTATCCAACTCAACTTTTGGTGATTCAATTTCTATTTTAGGTTTAATATCAACCTCTGGTTTGGTGACTGTACCAATAATAGATGCCAGAGCATCTAAAATAATAATTTATAGATTAGCTTAAATCATAGAAATCTGGGCTGGTAAGATTTAGACAAGAGGGTTAAGCTTTTTCTAAATATTTAAATGATAAGTACCTGGTATATCATTTTTCTTGGGAAGATCATTTTCTAGCTTAATTTTCTTTTGTACAGCCTTAAGTTTTTCCTGTTTAATAAGTTTTGGTGCGGGAGCATTTGATTCCTTTGGTGATTTCTGCTTCTTTCTCTTCTTTTGGCCAATATTAAATATCTCTTTTATGTTCAACTTTCGTTTCTTTTCACGACGTTCACTTTTTGAACCTAAATAATCACGGGTTGGATCAAAGAGGTGGGTATGGAAAACTGATGTTTGTAGTGATCCTGTTGTCTCCATACTAGGACCTGGCCCAAAGGAAATGGGAGATGGGGTATTTGATGAGGATGATGATGTATCAGTATTTAAGGAATCAATTCTTTCTGTGTCTTTCAGTTTAAACATCCTTGTTGTTGTACACTTCCAGTGGAAACCATCATCAAAGACAATTTCATAAGAGCCTGCCAAAAAAAAGAATAAAAAAATTACCTCTCTATATTCAATGGTTTACAGATTTGCAATTATCATGGAATATCTTACCGTTGCCCAAATCTTTACTAACAGTAGCAATAAATCTTCTATTATCCCTCCATCGTGCTAAACATCTTTCACCAACAACAAATTTTAATTTTGATTTTTCTTCTTTAATTTCTTCCTTTATTAAAGGAACTTCCACATTTGTAGTCTCAGTATTAGATGGGGTTGGTATAGGAGTACTGCTTAAAGGTCTAAGTCTAGGACTGTTCACACTTATCCATTCATCATGCCTAAAAATAGACAACAAAATTAGTCAATAAGTATTTTAATTCTTCTATCAATCTTCTTAGCATGATGATACAACTCATTTCCCATTTAATTTAGACCAATGTCATTTACAAAATATTGATTATCTGCCTGCTTAGACTTCGCTAAAATTAGTATTTCGCGTTTATTAAGAATGTAAAAAAATCACAAACTTTTTGGAGGCATTTTCATAGTGCACCAACACTTCCATTTCATCATAGTCTACTTCAATAATTTCTGCTGGATGCCAAAATTCTTCAAAATCCTTTGCCTCAACTTTAGAACCAACTGACAAAGACATATTACTACCTGAAAGAAGATGAAGATTATAAATAAACTTACCATATAAAATAGCACTCACGGGAAGATCCATGAAAAACAGATTTTTGTCTATTTTTGTGCAGAAATACTTAATGCTATTTAAAAATTAAAACATTCTTATAAAGTTAATCAATTATTCTCATAACTAGCATGCACTACAACTTGCTATATAAATATAAAGGGCATGCAACAATAAAACTATATAAATAAAAAAATAACAGACTTATCTGTTTATGTCATACCCTTATCTTCTGGACTAAGGCAGTGTTTATCAAAACCTTTGTCTTCCTTTTTAGTCAACATCCTAACCTCTGATTGGCTTAGTATGAGATCCATTACACTTGTGGCCACTGTTATTGGCTCCTCTTGCATTTCACTTTCAGTTAATTCATCTTTTAATCTCTCTCTCTCCTCTATATCTATCTTTTTATCTGATGCTGCAGCCATTTCATCATTTTTTTGGACCTCAATCTCTTTAGCTTGGTCTTCTATAAATTTCTTAATAGCATCCAGATTTTCCATTTCAAAGTCATTTTGGCTTGATGATGCACTATCTGCATTATCAGCATCTGAAGTTGTTTCATTCATGTTTGATGTATTATTGTCCCATGGAAATATGGATGGTACTGCATCTGTAACATCAGTATATCTATGTAGAAATATGCTTTATAAATAAATAAAGTACCATGCATTAACTACAAAACCCAAAAAATGTGTAGTCAAAGCCTTATAAAACTGGAGTAAAATAATTGAAATTGTCTGTGTATTTCGCAACAAACTACTGACAAATTAAATGTACCTGACTTTAAAACATATTTACAATCCTTGTAAATTTGAAAATCTTTTTTACGAAAGTGTCGTGAGCAGACATATGATGGTGTTGCTATATCAAATTGTTTGTTTCGTGTAATTGCTATCCAAGTGTCACACAATCTTTTGTCTTTGGGGTATTTGTGATATGTTACCCCAATATCTTCCGTTCTTGTCGAGCATGATTGACAGTTCTCAATACAACATTTTTTAACTGCCATCCTATGTTTGAATAAATTGTTTAATTATACTTTATATAAAATGTTTCAAATTTAATTTCCAAAAATTAATTTAACTGAAAATTTACAGGTTTAACCAATTTCATAACTTCACATTTAGAAATGTAGAATGTGTACAAAATTTTCAGTAAGATGATCTACTACAAAAGGAACTTTTCATTTGAATTGAAAGTAATTCTGAAAAACAAGATTTCTGTCTGTCATGAAAATAACATTATCTTAGATATAAAATTCTCGTGTCACAATTTTAGTTCCCATATTTCTCCGAAACGGCTTGACCGATTCTCATGAAATTTTGTGAGCATATTGAGAAGGTCTGAGAATCGGCCAACATCTATTTTTAATCCTGCGCGGACAGAGTCGCGGGCGACAGCTAGTTTTATATATCATTACAGTTTCACCCTTAACAGCTTTTCTCATCATCATACGTACACTTATATAATGTATCTAGAACGTAAAATATCGAGTATTTTTTATTTTTAAACGTAATACATATTTTGCTCTACCATGCTATTCCGAGTTACGGGAGTGACAATAGACTGTTAATTGATACCTTTTTTATCGGAAACGTTTAAGATTGTATATTATATGCCAACTACTCTCAATCCAACTTACCTACTATAAAGTAGCCCAATTAATTAATTGGTTCTAGCACACCGAAAGTCGTAAAAACTGTAGCCTCATAGAATCTTTTCAAAACAATAAAACTATTCGAATTGTATGTTTTTCTTTACAATTTACAACTTTCGACAATT